TATTCACAAATCACAGAATCATAGAATACTCCAAGTTGGAAGGGATGCATAAAGATCACTGACTGCAACTCCTGGCTTCACATAGGTCCACCCAAAAATCAGACCATACGTCTGAGAAACAGATCCTTACTCCTTTAGGGAATGAAAATTGATGTGCATATGAGAAGGTCTTTTATAAGCAATTACAAGAAAATCCGTGGAAAGTTAAGAAAGCAATTTCCAAATTTTAATCACCAGGGATGCTAAAATGAGAACCCAAAAGAACCTTGAGAAGATGCAACAAGAGAACTGCTGTGGTTGCTGCCGAGCTTCTGGGAGTTGTTCTCCTGCTAGGACAACCCATATTTCATAGAATCATAGAATCCTAAAGGTTAGAAAAGACCACTGAGATCCTGTAGTCCAATCACCAACCCACCCCACTGACCATGTCCCTCAGTGCCACATCTCCATGGTTCTGGAACACCTCCAGGGATGGTAACCCCAAATGGGCAGCCTGTGCACTCAGTGCATTGCCATTCTTTCAGAGTTTTTCCTAATATTCAACTTGAACCTCCTCTGGCACAACTTAAGGCTATTGCCTCTCATCCTATTTAGAATTACGTATCTCAAAGAAAGTGGAAAAACGGAAGACCATTTTCATGTAATAGAAGGCAATCTGGACAACCAACTGTATCCAAAGCATGAGTGGGACAAGGAGTGGGGATGGATAAAGCGCTAAACAAAAAAATTGCAGTGATTGGCACGAACACATGTGCTGCACCAGGAAGACTAATAATGGGAGTTCAAGGCGATCCTTCCTCAGTCTCACCCTCTTCTGCCAGCTTCTTGCACCTGCGCTGACTGCCACTGCTCATCTTTTCTTTCTGATCCTGTCACCATGCGTGGGCTGCAGGCATGTGTCTCCAGGCTCTGTGAGCAGGCAGAGCATCTCGCTTACATCTCAGCAATCAAAGGAGATTTAGAAGCTATCAGGTGGGCTTGCTCCTTCAGAGCCCTCTCGGTGACAGTGCCACACAAGTGCAGCTTTCAGGATGACGGCTGCTGCCGGTGTAAGCTTTGATAATAGAAATGGCAGCTGAAATTTAAACTGAGACATTTCTAAGGGTTTCTCGTCATCTGAAATTTTAAACTGCTGTGTGTAACACTGTAAGGCACATTTCTCTTAGCCAGGATGGGCTTACATTAGAGCAGTTTTGTGAATTCCCCAGAGAGCCCAGCACTGGTACAGGAGCTGTAAGCTGAACTGATCATAGAATCATGGAATCACGGAATCTTAGAATGGCTTAGATTGGAAGGGACCTTAAAGATCACTGAGCTCCAGCCTCCCTGCTGTGGGCTGGTTGCCAGCCATCAGATTAGGCTGTCCAGGGCCCCATCCAACCTGGCCTTGAACACCTCCAGGGATGTGGCAGTCATCACCCTAAGATATCTCATTAGGATTCACAGTTTTGTGGTTTTGCCTGAGACCAACCTCTCTATAGCCCATTAGTCATAATGGATGAGTCTGGAGTGACGTGAGCACACAATGACCAGAATATGGCCCAGGACCTTCAGCTGACAGAGGAAGTATGAAGGGCATGTAAGGATTGTGTAGATTCACTAAGCCATGTGCTTGAGAGGCATGCAGTGCATGTAACCTTCTCTTTATACATTACTTTTTGCCTCCTCTCCCATGCAATTGCACCAAAATTGACATGCATTTGAAGGAAGGCAATATAGCCAAAGGGCTGCCAAATTCCAGGTCAGCCCACAACTATGAAATGAAGCAGGGTACATTTTCTTCTCCCAAGCAGTAAATATAAATGCACATTCTCTTTGTACATGCTAAAATATTTAAATATGTAAAAATATGGATTATAATTAGGGGAAAGTTAGAATAGATTTGAATGTTTAACATACCCTTGGTAGATCTTGTTTCAATTCTGCATGATGTCCTCTACACAAAAAGATATTTCACCATAATTGTGCCCTTTCAGTGTAACCAAGTAATTTTTGCTTTTTTTTTCACGTTGTTCACATTTCCTTTGTGAGCTCTGCTGTGGTTATCAAGACCCTGGGGGCAGGAGGTGAGGACCACTGCAGAGATGAGGCTCACAGGATTGAGGATCCCAACAGACAGCAGGGAATTTTAACCCTCTGTGCCCCACGAGGCTGCCCTTGACACAAAGTTTAACACATCATAACGCCTACAGCGTGGCACCCAAGGAACCGAGGCTTAAACAGCTGTAATCACAGAATCATAGAATCACTTGAGTTGGAAGAGACCTTTAAAGGTCATCTAGTCCAAACCCCCTACAACAAACAGGAAAATCAACAACTCAAGCAGGTTGCTCACAGCCCAGTCCAAATAATTTATTCTGTTGTAATGTATGTGTTGATCAAGGGATTTTTTTGTTGGGTAAGAGATCATACCTCTTTGGAATGGGCATCACCAAGGACAATTCTTTGAGTGACTCAGGATATGTTTTCCCAGAGTCCTTCTTCTTATTGAGACACTTACAGCTGTGCAACTTTATTCATGTTTTGTAGGAATGCAAATGCAAAGCTCATCATGCAGTTATCTTGCCCACTGCTGAGCTTCTTCCTATTTTTATTTATTTATCATGCCAATGTATTTTGAGCCTTTGAGTTGGAATTCTCTCACATGCACACATTTTCCCCTTTAGGAATTGGACAAAAGTGAGTGCTGGATATCTGAACTTCATGTTGGAACCATTTCAGCAGTAGACCATTAATGCCTGTGCTCAAAGGCTGACCCATCTATTTGGGTCTTTGCAGTGGGGAACAGCAATGACCTACGGCTGCTGCTTATCAAAGGCTGCAAAACACTAATGAGAAAGCTATTCATCTCAACTCCTTTCCTTCTATTTCACACGTGTTAGCAGAGAACTACATTACTTCCCTGCAATTCATCTATTTTGTGCCAATGTGACAATATTAACCTAATATTTATTGAAAATTTTGCAAACAGACGCAGTGTGGAAACTGAGCATTTTGGCTTGCTTCTTCTAATGAACTTCTCTTTCTTCCCATTTTGTTTCACCCTGAATCCTTGGTGTTTATATTACATATGATAGTTTGAAGAAGTTAATATATTTTCAGCACGATTTTTATTTACAATGCTCCATTGCATTAAATTACTTTTCATATATCAATTATTTCCCTCAAATCTCCGATAGATCTTACTAAAGCTCACAGTTACTTGCTGTACAGCATAAAATTGATTTCCACTTGCCCAACCTGCTATCACACATGCCAGCACCTACATGGACACACCGTGCAGCTAAATAGAAATCCACATTTCTCTATTTTTCAAGTACCATAAAATTCCCAAACCCTCCATGCTTCCTGCTACTGTTTGCTAGCAACTGAACAGTGCTTTTTATTCTGAGGAAGGGGGAATACAGTTCTGAAACATACACACGTACATATGCATACACAAATGCACTTCCAGGCCTCCTGGGCACTCATGTGCAAAGTTTTAACAAACTTTTACTCTGCATTCTGAAGGAAGAAGCTAAGAATTTTTAAGACTCTGATCCTTCGTCACGAGTCGTGGGTGTAGCAGAAAGGTGAGCTTAAAAAATTCCCCCCCAGAAAAGAAAAAGTCTCCAGAATTAAACTCATTTATACAATATTACACATTTATACTGATTAGTATTGGCAGGTTGTCTCATACTAAGGCAGTCTACTATATTCAAACTTCACTTTTCAAGTTACTCTGCTTGTTAAGTTTAACGTACGCAAGATTGGGAGTAGCAAAAGTCATCAGAGAGAAAACAGATATTATCCCTAGTCAGCCTTATGCCCAAAATGTTTTCACATATTCCTGTTTTATGTTCAGCTAAAAGAGGGAAGCAATGGACAGGACCTCCCTAGAACTTTATCACTGAGCACACAATTGCCCCACAAAAAGCCCAAACATAGCAACTATGCCTCCAACACAGACCATTTCCAGAAATATATTCTTTAAAATGAGATGAACTATTTCCTAAAAGTGTTTGCCAAAATTTCTCACCTATTTTTTTGCAAGCTAGACATCTGCTCAGACAATGGGGCAATTCACTGACCGCTTGCCCTTCCAGCTCCCCATGGGCTGGTCAGTGCCTAAGACCAGCCAGTGTGCAGAAGGACTGAAAAGACTTCCACAGTGAAAATTAATGGTTAACAGCTAATTTGTGTCTGTCTCCCTCACACTGAGTCATTCCTTAGGGACTTTTTTTAGGACAGCCCTTCTCTAAGGACTCTTTTTCTTCAGATCTTGCTTCTACTCAACTAGGAGGTCGAGGATCCCTCCTGACAACTCAATCCACTGGCATTAGAGGATGCTGGATCAAGGCTGAAGGGAATGGAAAACATTAACTAGATTAGGTACATGGAGCCAAGAGCTGCAGTTGTTAAGAAGGGAAATAAAGATTTCCCATTTTTCACCAACAATTCAAAGCACACAGAATTTTTCAGCCATTACTACTGAGTGCCCTTGGGAATAATACAATCTGAAATGCCACAGCAAAGAATAGGCAAATAACTGTTTTTCCTGCCTAAATGCATACAGTTACATATCTTCTCACCTTCTCTGTCACACTGTCACATCAGCATCTACCTAGTTTTATTTAAGAGAACTACCCACCCATTGACTCCTGTTACACAAATTTAACCTGGTCAAGCACACTGAGAAAATTCCCTACCATAGACAATGTAAAGACTCATTCTGTACCATTCCCATGATTCAGTTGAAAGGAAAAAACAGGCTCCTGTGTGAGAAATGGTTTAATTGCTCTTGTTAGAAGAATTAGCCTAGAGAAGCACAAAGAACACAAAGAAAGGGAATGTCTCTTTTTGGAGACTGACTTCTGCTCTTGGATATGCAGGTGTAACTTATTCTGAAGTTACTAACATATCAAAGGCAGGATAAGGCCATTACACATCTGCATCATGAGCAATGGATCCACAGCAAGGGTAGGAACTAAGGAAATCTTAGTAAGATGTAACCAAAAAACACTCTTGTTGCCTACCTGCTCCATTTCTGTAAATGTGCTCTGCTCCTCATCTTCCTCCTCGATATCAGACTCTCCCACAGCAATAGGAACACAAATTGATAGGTCAGGATTGGTCATGAAGTCATCGTTGTCTGTAATTCCCAAGTGTTTCTCCACATTTTTATTCATCCCATCCTCAGTGTGGTTCTCTTTGTGATTCTCCATGTCTTTGCCAAGCTCAGCAGTTGGGTGACTGTTGACGCAGTTGTTAAGGGCACCTGTATTCTGGGCAGCAAGTTTCATCATTGCCTTCTTCTCAGCTGTCGTCTTGGGATGCCGGAGGACATTGCAGCAAAAATCCCACGTTGTGTGTTTCACATACTGAAGACCCCTGTTGATCCGAGCAAAGGCAAGCTGCAGGTTGTTCATCTCTCCATCCTCGTCTGGTGCCGAAAGGTTGTCAGCACTGAAAGAGCTGAGCAGCAAGGCAAGGAACAGGTTGAGCACCTGAAACAAAGTTAAGAGCAAATCAGTGACCCTGAAAGGTGGAGGGCAAATGGTTGTGGACGAGGGAGGGTTTGAGTCTTTTCTGTGCTTCAGTAACATCACCAGCATTTGTGGAATTGCCTCTAATTACAGGTGGTTTCAGTAGAAATAAAGCTCTGCAGACATCTCCAAAAACATTAATTTCAGGTGGAGAAGTTTGGCACGGGCAATTAAACACACTGATATTCTCTTTCCCTCTGTATTATCCAAAAAGATAAAAAGGTAAAGCTCAGAAACAGAATACAGGATGAAGTTTTCACTGGAAGGTATCTAATGTAAATATTCTCATAACTGGTGGTATCATGAATGTCCTTTCATTGCTAATATTACGTGTTGGAGAAAATCACTAATAGCAACAATTACTGACATCCAGGAAAGTATTGCTTACATGTACAAAAATTATAGGAAGAATGTTCTCAGGACTCTTTTGATTTTTACTCACTGTGAATATTATTATTTCTATATCACGGTGATATAATGGTACACATATGCATGGCACTTCACCCTAATAACATATTTGGAAAATGTTTTAAACATTTTATGTATTTTCATGGATACTCTTGATTTGAATAGCCTCTTGGCCTTGAAGAAAACCTCTCGCAACTGTGAATTAACACCTAAGAGAACATACAGTTTCAAAACACTTGCCCTGCAGACAAAAAGAAGCCAACACACCCACAATTAATGTGGCTGAAATTGAAAAAGGCTCATTCTGCAAGCAGGCTTGGTCATGGAAATGCTGCTACTAAGAGATTTGGATTGGACATAAGGAAAAAGATTTTTATCATAAGGACAGAGGGGCACTGGCACAGGTTGCCCAGAAAGGTGGTGGATGATTTGTCCTCAGAGACACCCAAGATCAGGTTGGATGGGGCTCTGAGCACATGATGGAGCTGTGGATGTCCCTGTTCATTCCAGAGGAGTTGGACCAGATGGCCTTTAAGGGTCCCTTCCAACTCAAACAATGACTCTAAAATCAGTAAAATGCCATCTGAAGATATCCACACATGTATGGTAAATTGAACCAGAGACCATAAGCTGGCTTCCTCTTGCTCCTGCAACTTCATAACTGCCTACCTCTGCTTGCATTGAATTCTAAGATAAGATGTAACCACACATTTCAGGAACATATCTGATGATTTACAGTTCTTTTCACCTTCTAAAGCTTTTATTTTTTTTTCTTTTTCCTAATAAATACATTTAAATCCAATAAATAAAATCAGTTTCCTCTTGAAGGCCATCCTCAGTAAGATATCCTTCTGACTGATTACCAGCTGCTGCACATGGGTCATCATTCCTGCCTATGGTCCAAGAGAATGAAGTACAGCTTCCAGACTACATAGGTGAGAAGTTCACACTGGAGAAAGATGTCTAGGATGATGGGATGATGCAGAGCTGACTCAAACCAATATCAGCTAAAATATATTCACTCTAAATAATGGGGTACCAAACTGCCTGCTATCAACTCAGTTGCTGCCTGAGCAAGGCTGATGGATGTCCGTAGCACTGCAAAGGAGACTTCAGCACTGCTGCAGCCCTTCTGCTGTTGTAGCAATAAAAGGGATATTTGTGAAGATATTCTTTCTTTGATCTCTTAATGCCACCAGAATTACTTGCAAGTCCCCTGACTTCTGACTATCTTATTATGTTTTAAATTGATAAAGTCTGCTAGCCTTCCATATGCAGTATAAAAAGTACTTCTATTTATCTGGCCCTACCAAACAGGCACAAGCTTTTGCTGTCCCCTTCCAACCCTTCCTTTCAAATACTTGGAATACGTGAGCTGGAATTTTGCAGACGAGCCTGGTCTTAATCACTCCAGTGACACCTTATTTGAAGTGTCCTGGCAGGACTGTTTCATAACGTACTCATTGCAATCACTATGATTATAAATGAAAGCAGTCAGCAGCGCTGTGAACGCCCATGTCCATTACAAACTACAGAATAAAGCAATGCTGAGTGCAACCCTGATCAAAAGTAAAGTGAGATTAAAGCTAATTGTTTCTTAGTTGGTCCATCACATTGGAGTATTGCTGACAGCTTGCGTGGATCTCCTCTTAATCACTGCTGTTGTTTGGTACAAATCAGGATTTCATCTCATACCCATTCGGATATATTGTGAGCAATGTTCTCCAACAGGTCATTGAGAACCAGAGCACTGGCAATTGGCTACAATGCCAAACAGAAGGAGCCCATCAACAAATGAGCTGCTGGCACAATCACAGAATCACTGAATCACAGAATGGTCAGGGTTAGAAGGGACCTCAAGAATCATGAATCTCCAACCCCCTGCCACATGCAGGGCCACCAACCTCCACATTTAAGACTAGACCAGGCTGCCCAGAGCCCCATCAACCTGGTCTTGAACACCTCCAGGAATGGGGCATCCACAACCTCTCTGGGCAGCTGTTCCAGCACCTCACCACTCTCTCTGTGAAGAACTTCCCACTGACATCCAACCCAAATCTTCCTTCTTCAACTTCAAACCATTTCCCCTCGTCCTGCTGTTATCTACCCTTTCAAAGAGTTGATTCCCCTCCTGTTTGTAGGCTCCCTTTAGGTACTGAAAGGCTGCAATGAGGTCACCCCGCAGCCTTCTTTTCTCCAGGCTGAACAAGCCCAGCTCCCTCACCTGTCCTCAAAGGAGAGGTGCTCCAGTCCCCTGATCATCTTCATGGTCCTAATTTCATCCATTTTCAAGCAAATTTGATAGTTATATAAGGTCTCAGAGATAACCAGTTTTCAACAAATATCCTGGAAATGAGCCCTTGGGCAGAGGTAATATCCAGGCCATTAATACAGACAGAGCTTAGAACAAGCCACACATGTACCTTCCCAGCAGCAACTTAGTGAGGTGTGAAGGAGTGTGAAGACAGGAGACTGAGAAACACTGACCTAAAGTCTTCTGGACAGTATGGTTTCAAGTAAGTTACTTTAATAAAGGTGTATACTGATGTTTGAGGCCATCTGAGACGTTCAGAACATACCTACAAGAGATGAGTATACTCCTAAAGCTGCATCTGTCATCCAAGCAGGGCATGATGGAGTGTCACAGCAGACACCAGGCTAACAATGTTCAAGGACACGAACTGCCTCCAGGCTCCAGCACCAAAGCTCAGTGGTCTCATGGGGCATCTAAGCCCCATTTCAATCAAGAAGGATTCACAGAATAGTCAACAGAGCCTAACCAAACAGAGGTGACCACATTAGGGGCTGCCTGTATGTAGGTAGACATTGAGTGCCAACTGACCCTAGCATGCCCAAGTCAGCCATTATGCATGCGGTAACTTGGGCTGATGTTACATAATTTTAATGAGAGGCTAGCCAGGCTGCATACTCTACAGTATCCCCAGTGGTGCCACACAGAACTGGGTCTAGACACATATTTCCACAGACTGTTATGGGAGCTGGGACCCCTTCCTGAAACACAAAAACTCCACACAAGCACTCAAATATTGAAATCTGAAACTGAATTTCATCCTCTACTTAGTTCTACTGCGTGCAGAATAACTTTTTTTGAAATGCCTTATTTTACTTTTCTGTATTTATTTCTAACGTTCAACTACAGTTACGTTAGTCTATTCAGATACACTTGCAGGTATATATAAAATAGGTGGTAACATGCTTACTATTGTTATTTACCACGGATTATCAAGGCAGAGCCGTGTGCTTCCCAGAAATGGATCTGACATTTCGCACAAAGAGTTATTTGCACTTCATGCTTTCAGCCAAAAATAAATCTCAAATCACTCCGTCTTTCCCTTATGAGCAGGTAACCTCAGAGGTGTATTGTAGGGTGTTCAAACAGAGTAAACTGCTGCATAAGCACTTCATGTTTACTTATTCCCATTTCACTGTACACCACATTTTCCAGAAAAATACATGCTCAACCCATGACACATCATGTTTTCTGTAAAAGGTTACTAATAATATCCAGCCTTCCTGGTTGCTAACGCAATGCTTTCAGTTTAAGTGAAAGCAAACTAAAGACAAATCTAGTTTTCGAAAGCAATGGTAGATTTGCACATCCATCAAGACCCCCTCAAAAAGAAATCTTTTTTCTAGTGACATAAAAAATCCAGTCTCTGAAAGCAGGTCACTTTTTTGGTCACTTTGAGGTTAGAAATCAAATGATGCATACACTCAAAGAAACCCCAAATCCTTCAGAATAATGATGTTAAGCATTTACCCTAATGGCAATAAATAGATCATGCTTTCATGGGCACTTTTAATGCCTTTCCAATGCTAGGGGCTCTGGTTATGCCATTATAAGAAGTACCTCTGGAGGAGTTTTCATAGCATCATAAAATCATGAAGGTTGGAAAAGATCTCTAAGATCATCCAGTCCAATTGCCAACCTGTTCCTGCCATGCCCAATGACCACATCCCTCAGTGCCACATCTCCACGGTTCTTCAACACCTCCAGGGATGTGACCTCACCAACACAGCTTAATTTCAGGTGACACCTTCTAATCAAACCCTTTTTAAAACATCTGTATGCAACGTCTGATGCCAGAGCAAAAGTGTGTGACTACTGCCTCATTTTTCTTTCTTTCTTGTATTTACCTCGACTTGGCAAAAATGGAAGGCTGTAAATCTTTATGTATTTAACCTTCCATCTACCATTCAGTCAAACAATGTGCAGCCCCTGCAATCCCCTGTGCTCCTGTGTATTGATTCAGCAATGTATTCACTGCCCTGCACTCTGCCTGGGATCCCTGAGACAGAGCATTTGGCACCTTGCTCAGCACTGCACTGAATACAGGCTGAAATACCACTGCTAAGTCTAAGGCCACTTCACTGATTTAAAATCATTCTGTTTTTCATTAAACTAGGATCAAGAACAATGTTGCACCTGCACAAACTTAATGGTAGGGTTAAACCATCTCCAAGGCAAGGCCTTCAGCTGATGGTCTTGTTTGATTGCAGGGAATCTGATAGGAGCTCACCTCCCTGGCTTC